TCACTCACTTATTTGTTCAAGGACGGCTAATATGTATAGAAAGACGGCGAAACTCATAAATGTAAAGTACGATTAACTGAGACCATCTGGTGTAATTAAAATGATTTTACATTATTAAAATTATGAACCACTCATGTATATATATTATCTGTCAATACTTTTTATTTGAAAGACACTTCATAAATACACAACTAGGGTGTGGGTTTGGGTCTGAGTCTAGGTGTAAATATGGCGGTGTGGCTGTAGGTGTAGGGAAGAAAAGACACACTGATATCCACATCCTCCCATCATTAGACAAATCAGCAAGCATCATACTTTTAAATTGATAAATCAATGTATCGTATATCTACTCTGAGATTGAGTGTACAACACTAAAATATGATGATTTTTCTCCTTGTACTGATTTCAGTTCTGCTAAACAATGTGCCTTTTACTTTTCTCATTATGGTTTTCCAAAATATAAAACTTCAAAAGTAATCAAAATGGCAAATATGAATACATCAGACGACTTATTACGATGTCCAATAACATACGAACTATTTCGCGATCCAGTTTTAGCACCAGATGGTCATACCTATGAGAGACATGCGATCGAACAATGGATTCAAAATCATGGAACAAGTCCGATCACACGACAGCCATTATTCGTCGAACAACTCTATCCGAATCGCAAGGTGAAAGAACTTGTTGATGTTTTTGAGACATTATTGCTCCAAAAAGATTACCAGTTTATATTAGATGTCGATGTGAAAAAAAAAGGACGACCACTATTTCAGACAATTGGAAAAACAATTTATGACGCTGAGTGGTTGCACGACAATAATAATCGACCGAAAATAATTCTATTAAAAATTGATGGTGCTCGGGCAAAAAAAGAAGCATCTTTCTACGTAAAATTAAGTCGTCATCCGCATATCATTCGAACATTTGGTTTTGTACATGACAGAAATCATCCCGATCAAAGTAATTCATTTCTGCTTTTACAAGAATATGCACCCGAAGGAAGTTTGTATGAGTTGTTACAAGAACGAAGGACAGCTCCTGATGAAAAAATTCTCATTCAAATATTTTTACAGATTATTGAGGCAATGATATGCCTAGGATCTAATCACGTGGTTCATGGTGATTTAGCATGTCGTAATGTCCTGATATTTCGCTTTGACGAAAATGAACCAGAAAAGAATATTGTTAAAATCACTGACTTCGGTCTTAGTCGACATAGTCAATTGTATTCAATGACACCAGGTGCTGCAAGAACAACATTGAACATAGTTCCTATTCGATATGCAGCACCAGAAGTACTTTTATCAAATACCACATCAGAGGTTTATACAGAAAAATCAGACATTTATTCAATGGGTGTGTTAATGTGGGAAGCATATTCTCGAGGTTCATTGCCATGGGTGAACATCGAAAACGATAATGATGTCATTCAAAGAGTCAGAGATGGTGATTTACTACCTAAACCATCCAATTGTAGTCAACCTTTTTGGTCAATCATCACAAAAACTTGGTCTATATCACCAAGTAATCGTCCAACATTTAGAGAACTGAAACATCTTTTGAGCGAACAATACTATCATCCAGGTAATGTTTTATATGTATCGTAAACTATATTCCTAATTAGTATGTTTTATAATTTGTTCCTAATGCCTAATTTATCGTTGACCAGTAGAATTCGAACAACTTGAGGAATGACCAGCATCATGTAACATAAGCAGATACATTAAATACACTTTTTTAAACAACTCTAATGAAACTACATCGAAATGCAATTTTATAGAATCCAAGTACAAAAAATTTTCGAAAATATGAAAATAGGACCAAAATTTGATGTGAATAAAGAATCATTAGTACAATTATATGTACTTCTCAAATAAGTTACATTGATCCGTCATAAGGAATTACTTTTTCGGATTGTTCGGGTTAAGTAACGATATTGCTTTATTTTCTTTTCAGTCGTATGTATATTGCCTCTCTCTCGTTGGCAAGATATTTTTGGAAAGTATGCTGGTCTTGAACAGATGAGTGAACTGAAAAATATGACTATGAACCATGAACAATATATTTACTTTTTCATTAGTGAATGATGAATTAGGAACCGAGCAAGCAATAACTGATTGTGTCTAGGAAAAATTGTAAAAAAATAACTGAAAGGAGATGTGTTTGAGTTAATTTAGTTAAGCTGTTGTTTAAATCATAGGTTCAATGCTACGAAACAAGAGTAAGCAATGTCACACGAGTACCAATGTGTTAATTGCAGGGGTGAGTTTTTTTCACAGAAACATGCATCGATTGAATATGATTCGTGATTTCAGCTAAGACAACTAAACGAACCAAACCAACCAGCTACCCAAACAGGTAAGCCATACTTTATATCGAATTAAAATTTATGTGCCGATATTTTTACCTTTTTCGGTTCGTGTTTTGCACGTATTCTCCGAGTTGAATTTCAAAACAAATTGAGTACCCTATTCGCCATTCAGATCTGAGTGTACTGAATATATTAGAAACCACCCGCAATCTAAAGTATTTCAAGCAGTTTCTGTCCTTTGAAGCATCTGAATTTCTTTGCAGTTCGTGAATAGTTTGACATGTAAGTATTTGAAATATTCAGATTTTCTTACACGAAATATTTTCCAGGTTCATCGAATGTTGAAATAAGTTTTGACAGAAAATATTTTATGATGGACATAGTATACTTAATTTCTACTATCCATTTCAATGAACAATGCATCGGTTGTAAGTTGAATAATTCTGGATAGAATACAGCTAGAAACCTACAGGTTTCACTTTTGGAAAGAGGACGATTAAATTTATATGGAAATATGAAAAAAGCG